GTGACAGATAGACATTGCATCAAGGGACTGTACCTTAACTCCTCAAGCAGACCAGATTTGAAGGAGGGAATTTAACATCACATCAGGCATCCCCAGCTATCTCTGACTTCTCAAAATTTACATCTTTTTTTTCCATTCTATATTATTTTCCAAAAAAAGAGAAAGAAGGGCAACAGGCAGTGGAGAAGGAAGGCACTGACCAGGCTGAGCCCCATGCAGGCCAGCACTATGGCTCAGTGCAGTAAAATCTTAAGCCACAGGGAAAGTTTGGCCAAAGCTTCTCCATCAACACTACAATGGAGGAAAACAGTACCTAGCATTTAATATTACTCCATTTATGTTGTTTGACTCTATCACAATTATGAACGTGCTTGTGAAGTAGAAGCAAAAAGCAACGTTCTTTTACGCTGTGAGCACTCCTGTAATTTTGTGCCTGTAATACAGATACTGTGTTTACACCACCACACTTGAGAATGTTAAGATTGCCTATGAAATATAGTTGCGTGTAGTTTTATTTAAACATACCACCAAAAAATCATGGCATTTATTTATAACTCCACCTGTGCAAGTTCTCTGAATGAGAGCTGAGTTGTTTTCATTGCTTAATTTTTTTCAAAAAGCAATTTTCTAAAAACTCATAGAATCGTCCAATGATTTGCGGGAATACAGGCAGAAACATTTCTTTTTATACTCTCCAAAGAGGAAAACTAAAACATTTTATACAAGAAAATGTCACTGAATAGATATAAGTTGTTTCTTCTGAGGGAGAAAAATCCAGTAGTGTGAATTACTCAGCACTGTAGCTGATTTTTGTCTTTCATCTCACTGACAGCATCAGTGACAGAATGATAACTCAAAAAAGAGAAAGAGAGAGATAAAAGGACACAGAGATATACTGCAGGAACATAAAGCATACAGAAGTTGAGTATGTGCTCTGAGCATAGGATGATCTGGACTGACACAATCAGGAAAAGGCAATGTATGAAGGGTTTTTCTCTTTCTTATTGATTATTCTTTTTTCTACCAGAAGGAATTTAGGCCAATACTGCTGCTTTCCTAGCATTTAGAGACATGAGCTAAAGTAAAGTGGGGGTTGGGGGGGGGGGAGGGGGGGGGGGGGCCAAAA